GTCCCTGATGGCCAGGTTCATGCCCTGGCCCCCTGCAGGCGAATGTATGTGAGCGGCATCACCGACTAGGAAAATAGCAGCACCAAGAAGCGTGAACGTGCGGTCAGCGACAGCTGAATGGGTTCTGAAACGTGTCGACCAGACCAGCTGGTCGACCTTGACGGGTGTCGGGTTGAGGGACGAATTCGATGTTATATACGCTGGGCCGTACATGTCGATCAATTTCTAGATGTACTCCTTCGGTGGTGCATGGGGCGGGTCTCCGTTCTTCACTGGTACGGCAGAAATTATACGGAAGATGAATTTTGTAACGGGCTTTCCATCACGCGTCAGCTCGGAATTAAAGTGGTTGTCGAACGGTGTGAGCATCAGGAAACCATCTGAGGAAATTATGATATTGATGTGGCCCTCGATGGTCGATAGATAGACAGGTTCGGGCTCGAACGTAACATCTGCACTGGCCATTTGAGTCAGTACATGATTGCCTAAGTTGGGGCCTTCTGGGTCAGAGAACCCTATGCCGGTGATGGTACGGATCTGGAGATGGTTGTCAGACATTCCACAAAGCTAAGCTAGCAGGAGCTGAGGTCTCACGGTTGAGCGGGCGCCATCTGCACCGATGATATACCTGGCTCTGACTATTTGGCCATCCTTGAACGAGACGTCGGTGACAGGACAATCCTCTTCGTTCTGTTTCCTGCCAACAACCCTGTGTGGGCGCTGCACTCGAACCCCAAGGCTCTGCAGCTTCTGCCCAAGCACAAGCTCCGTCACATTATGAGGGGATAAGAGTACGTAAGGGTGGGTCGAATATTTCTTCAGAGGGCCGAATGTGGCCTCGAAGATCTGCGAACTGCGAGATGCCCTTCTCCTTGATGGCTTGAGATAGTAAGCCCTCTGCTGCATCGATGCTGGCTAAAGCCTGCGATCATAAGGTCATCAGTGGGCCTTCTTATGAACGCTCAAGTGGCACTTTACCTCGACGTTGCATCCATTCGAGGTCCGAGACAGCCTCATTATTGTATGGTCCGTCAGATATCGAACTTGTCTCTGGAGGGTCAGCAGGTAGAACCGTATGAGATTTCTTGATTGCCCAAGATGAACCTTCTTTCATACGGTGTTGCATGACATCCATGAGCTGATACAGGGGAGGGGCTGAGGTGTTTGTGCGCTTGTCTGAATATTCTCGTCCGCTTGTGAACATGTGGTGGCGAAGAAGGTCCTAGCTCTGCAATGGCATAAATCTTCGTCTCTGGTAGGATTACACAAGCACTGACACTCGAAAAACTTACTTTGTCAATCATAACATTGATTCACATCGAGTCGACAAACGTGCGGCCGAACCAATCACTTGCAGTGGTTGCGTCTTGATCTGTCGGCGTAAAGCGTACGGAACCATATCCACGCTGTGAAGGTTCTGGGATGTGGGCCTTGTTGTTCTAAGTGCTTTGGGAGGTGATCTGACGTCAAGTATGCGAGTCGATGAAGCGTAACATTGTTGCGAAAATAAGGAAATCTCAGGCCAGAATTGCAACTGTTCAAATCACAATATTTTGCGATGGCTTGGCCATTGTCGTTCCGCTCAGGCAAGACGAAAAAGGTAGGAGAGCCACGGAGGACTGGACGAAACGATAGAAAGTTCACACGGCGCACGGATTGTTGGTGTATTCATGGGGATGCAATGGTTTGCTATTACTCACAACTCCACCATTTCTTCAACAGAGGTCTACCAGTCTATGGTACATCAGGCCTTGGAGTGGACACAAGTAAAGCATGTTAACATCGATATGTTGAGTTCCTTACCTATCTTGTTATCTCGTACACCTTCGTATACCATATGACTCTCGTCTTCTCTCAGGCTTCTCCGCACGTTAATCCTCCGGACTCGTTACCTAATCGACTCTGCTGATATTTGTACCGCGCTTCGCCTCTTGACCACCTCAGTATTGTTCTTACAACTCTACTGAAGTGTGTACTGTGTCCGTCGTATCACGCCGTCTTGTATTGACTTGTGCACTAGCCTTTGTCTAGGTACAGAATAATAGTATCGTTCTTACCAGAGCCAGAATCGCGTCCAGCATCCAACCCGACGTATGATGATATCAAGGCGCGGTTGCGATATGAGGACGTCAAGTGCGTTTGCGGGATTGACTTGATCGATGGCGCTTCAGGAGGCGTCGTGGACGAAGTGGTTTGTTGGCAAGAAAAACCAAAGTTGAATCATTTGCTCCAGAGTGGTAGAGATCGTCTATCTTGCCGTTGACAGGACCTGTACGTAGACTCGGTAAACCGACTCTAGTTTCGAAATACAAAGGATCGAAGGAGATCATGGTGGTGGGAGCCGGAAAAGTACTAGTCACAACTGTATTACTGAGCCATTTTCGCGGGGTGTGGGAATTCAGTTCTTGGACTTACTAAGTGACGTACTTTCAGGAATCAGAACGTCGCAGCTGAAACTGTGGTCAAGTTCGAACCTCCTCCTGCCTTTTATCAGAACCCAACGTGACCCGTTTCACACCAATTGACCTGACTGCACCGATAGCGAAGCCTGTAGTTTTATTCCCACATTTCAACCCACCTCTCCGTCCTTCACATTACACGGCCAAGTGCCGCTTTGGCCCAAACAGAGGTAGTGCGAAAGTTATAGGACTCTCAATGGCGTCCTATTCACGGGACGATTCTTCACCGAATACGGCGCAGGCCCATTCGCTTCTTATGACGATATGATAGCATGGTTTAAACACAAGTTTGACGTATCTCAGCGGATGAAGAAAGCGCCTCTCGACGCTCCGCGGTTCGACAGCTCGTGGCCACCAGTCTTTACACACCAAGACTTGTGTCCCCAGAACATTTTGTTAGCACGCGATAGCACGTTGTATGTGTTGGGCTGGCACAGATCTGGGTTTTTACCCTGCATGGTTCGAATATGCCAGCAAGCGCTGTGACGTGCACTTCGTCATGTTTATGGGACCTTCTGATTCCCTTTATCTCTCACACCATTTCCAGTGAGTCGTTCCCTGGCAGAGATCAGTTTTATAAACAATCCAGCCTTCCACTCCAGGTCGCACACGAAAGCTCATAGCGGAGTACCGGAGTAACATTGGGTGGGCACTTCACATTGGTGCTGTTATTGTGTAGTACTTGACATGTGATACAAAGTGCCATGACGTGCAAGTCAGCATCATGCACTGTGCTAACTTGACCATACCAGTCCACGGTGATGTGAGTTTCGCATTCAGAACTAAGCAGTCTTGTCATCGAATGATTCCCAGTGCAATCAGCGAATTGCTGCCTGAACTGCGTCACGACAGATGGCAGCTTGGATTGTGATGCACTTCAGACATGTAAGCAGCATGCACGACATAGATGGCAACAGTCTCGAGTTTCTGCTTCATACATTAGGGTCTGTTTGGACAATGTTTTTTGCCAACCAACTTCGAAATTCCAGTTTAACACATACAAGACCAAATAGTCGGAGACCGAAAATGATGTCACGCTGATAACAGTGATATTGATGAGCCCATACATGATATTGTTGTGCAACACCAAGGATCCCAATGACCTCAATGCTGACCTCGATCCGCTAGACCCACTAGACCAAGATGGCACCGTCATCGAGGAACATGATGACAGTGCGGATGAAGATCCCAATTGTGCTGATGTGGTGGACTCTGACCAGCTGGATGTATACAAGCTGCACTGGATAGACAGTATGTTCCGTGGTGCTGCTCGTGTAGCGATGGCTATTGCTGATGCTGCTGGCCAAGTACTCCAAGATCACTCACAAACTCACTATGACAAGCAGCCCTATCATACTTCAGCCCTGTCTGGAATGGCATGGGTCAATGAACTCCTCACAGGACACCCAGATCGCATACGATGCGAACTTGGTGTGCGGCGCCATGTGTTCTATGTACTGTTGAATCTACTTCGCGATTCAGGGTGCAAGAGTTCAAAATACATCATGCTTGAGGAGCAGCTCGCCATCTTCTTGTATGCATGTGTCACAGGTCTCTCTGTTCGCCATCTTGGTGAACGCTTTCAGCGCTCCAATGAGACAATATCAAAGTAGGTTATTCCCCAGCACTGGTTAGCGACAAATTTGCTTATTTTTGAAGGTATTTCAAACATATTCTCAATGCAATTTTCCTCCCCCCCGATTTATTCATTATATGTCCAGCTACCCAGCGCAGACAGTCCGATACCTCCCGAAATCCTTCAAAACCCCAAATACTACCCATACTTCTCTGATGCCATCGGCGCTATAGACGGTACTCATATCGCATGCCACCCTAGTGCCAATGATCGTGATGCAGCTCGTGATCATAAAGGCAACTTAAGTTACAACTGTCTCGCAGCCTGCTCCTTCAACATGTCGTTCCTTTACATACTGAATGGCTGGGAGGGGTCGGCAGCCGATGCACATGTCTATCATGATGCTTGCATTACAGAATTCAACATCCCTCCAGGCAAATACTATCTTGCTGATGCAGGATTTGCTGCATGTGACGAGCTACTTGTGCCATATCGTGGAGTACACTACCATCTCGCTGAATGGGGTCGTGGACATCAGGCGTAAGTAATATTCAACTTAGGCTACGATCTACTTGTACTTATATTGTTTTTAGGCCTTGTAATCACAGAGAACTATTCAATATACGCCACGCCATGCTCCAAAATGTCGTTGAGTGTATTTTTGGCGTGCTCAAGAACCGCTTCAAAATCCTGCTTCTCCCACCTCATTATGCAATGGACGTGCAGGTTCGTATCCCTGTGGCATTGTGCCTGGTGCACAATGTCATCTGTATTCACGACCCGAATGATATGATGGACTACCACCAGGTTGACTTGAATGAGCCTGAGTATGATGTTGGCACACTTGCAGAAGGTCCTCTCACTGTAGAGGCACGCACTCGTGCACACCAACATCGTGACGCGATTGCCCTTTGGATGTGGGAGGACTACTGTCGGACGAGACAGCAGAGAGGTCAGTCGGTCATAGGGGACAATCTTTTGTAGTCGTTTACGTCAATTTTTCATAGTCATTTGCGTCAATTGTTTGTAGTCGTTTGTGTCAATTTTTTGTAGTCGTTTGCATCAATGTTTCATAGACAGTTGCACAACAAAGTGTCATGATATTCGGTACTACTTCTAGTAGTACTAACAACATCAAATGCAAGCATGATACAGCGAAAATCTAGTTCAAGTAGGTTGATAAGAAAAGCTTCCAGGGTGCTCTCCTTCTCGATGACAAGGTATGAATCAGCTATGGCAACATCAGCTTGGAAATGCTTGATAATCTCCACTATTTCATGGTCCTCCAGACCCTCCTTCTGCAGCTGAATGATAGCCTTCTGCTTGCGCACCGGAATGGGATCCACCACGGGACGTGAGGCAACCTGAGTTGTGCGCTCTTGCATGACATCTGTTGCACGATCGAAGGAGTTGGTGAGATTATGAATCTCCTTACTCATGTCTTGGAAAGCTTGTGGGATAGCCACACGCTGTGACTTGATGGACTTCCCTGACTCGGATGCGGATTTTGTAGAGCCCAGAGGGCGAGCAAAGGTTCTCATATTGTCACCTGACTCTCCACCTGCTTTTCATTTACCACTGCCAATAGTAGAAGTGCCCGGCAGTAGAGGGTGTGAAGGTGGGCCGTTGTGCCGCATCAAAGGGAGAGGGTGGCAACATGTTGATATCTACATCTGGTGAAGTGTCGGCACCATACTCAATGTCGTCCAATGCTTTCTCCTGGTCAACTATATTGGCTTCATCAAAACTCGTGCCAGCTAGGGGCTGAGAAGTGGTAGCTTGACTCAGAGCCCCTACCAGTGCAACGTTATCGGCAGGCATGCGGGTGTAGAAAGCACGGTTGCCACGTGTTTTTGATGGCAAGAGTTCCTTCATTGCTTCGTATTGCACCCAGCCTTTATTCTTGAATGGCTTTGCAGGCGGAGTAGACTGCATCATATTAGTAGCTGCCAGTGGTAGCGGAGCATTGGCAGCACTTACTTTCAATATCTCAGTCCATACCGTCTCAGATACAGCTGTAATTTTGGCGCCATGGTCCAGACTGTATGACAAGCCAGAATAGTTCGCTACTTTGTCGACAACACCAAACGTGCTACGGAGCTGAAGGTCTTATCAGTACAGACTCTAGGCTAGTAGTACTGATGCAATGCAATAAAAACTTACCTGTGTCCATTTTGATTGACATGTTTCGAGCGTCTTTGGTGCACCTTGTGTAGTATGTTTAGTCATCTCAGTAGCAACAGAGGTCCAGAAGGTCCTGTCAAAGTTCAGTCCATTGCCACCCTTAGACTGGTGTGTAGTGATGAACTGGATGAGGTGTGTTTCGTTGTCTTGTGTCCAGATGCATCGGTCTTTGGTTTCAGACGCATCTTGACCCTCCAGTGCGCTCTTTCTTCCACAGACCATGGTGTGTTGTAGACGTCCACAGCGGTTACGACTTGAATGAGTCAATCTAGTAGTAGATCGTGTAGTGGGCATGTTATCGATATGGCTTGTCACATATGTCACACTGACTCCCAGCATTACAAAGCACCATATTTCTGAAATTTGGCAAAATTTGGTTTATCCGAACAGACTCTAAGTGATCAGCTTCCATAGTACAGAGTGGAACCAAGCTGGACTGACATAAGGCAATAGACAAGCGTAGCAGAACAAGTAGGGAATACAGTACAACAATAGAGGGTAGAAGAGCTATAGATAACTAGATGAGATGATGGAAAATGTCAATGGTGTTCCAGAACGTTTCTTCCCTATAGTTGATTATTTTTGATAGAGATACAACCAATCCAGAGCCAGAACCGCGTCCAGCATCCAGCCCCACATATAGTGATATCAAGGTGTGAGGTTTCAGTCGCCACCGTGGTAGTGGAGACTGTAGTAATTGCAGCTGATGTCATGGCTTGCTGTGGTGGCGATGGTGGGGGTGTGCTCTGTGTTGCTCCGCCAGTAGGTTGCTGCATGACATAGATTTTGGGAGGTCGAGAGGAGCTGGCTGCTTTCTTCCCTCTTGCATGATAGTCCCTCTGCGTGAAAACGTGTCAGTGATGAGAAGAATAGAGGTGGAAAAAAGCACACAGGCTTGCCTGGGGCGCACGGGACATCAACTACCGGTAGTTCTCGCAACTGGATGTTTGATCCATCTTGTCTGCGTTGTCTCCCGGACACGAGGTTTTTAGCCCAGCTACGAGGGTGGGATCTGGACGGGGTGTCATGTTCGGTTGCTCCGCGTGAATTGGAGCGCCAGCGCATGAAGGAAGGTAATCGACTGAGGAGAGTCCGTTGATTTGGTGTGGTGGTGGCATTTCGTCCTCGGGAGGTAGAGAACTAATAAGATAATGGTCAAAGGAGACGTTATATTACAGATGGAAATCACGTACATTGTCGAAAAACCCTTGGGATAGTCGACTTGGACGAGCACTGTCGATTTTCGGGGCTCGGCGTCGTGGATCAGCCTAGCATGTAGATATTCAAGGCCGTGCAAAAGGTCAAGACACACATAACATACATTAATGTGAAATGGCTTCTTGCCTGTCTTCTGCGATGAATGAAGATGAGTGAGAAAGGCTGTTGAAGAGACCTGATGCAACATACCACCTGAAAGGATGACCGGTTGTCAGTGTGATTGAGGATGAAATGTACACAAGCTTACATTGTCTGATAGAAGGTGACTGAGGCCAGCTTCCTTGACGATAGCAGAGACATCCCATTTGTATATGTCCTTGTCGTCGCAGCTAGTGACGAGCGACCTTCCATCCATGGAAAAGGTCGCGCAAATCACCAAGTCGTCATGGTAGAAGGGTTGTCCGATGGGCTGATTGGTTTCTAGGTTCCATAGTCGCGCTGTCTTGTCATATGATGTGCTTGCGAGGATGCGTTCATTTGGAGACAGTGAAATAGCACGGACAAAATT